CTGTATTGCATGATACTTCTGTAGTGAAGCAATAAAATAAAGGATCAACGTGTAATATTTGTTCTCCACTTCTTTGCCAAATTTGTGCCTTAAAATATTGTGCAACATTTCTCCTATTTCATCAAAGAAGAAAAATCAGGGATGCTTATGTAATGGAGACAGGGATAACTTTCTCCTTGGCCTACATGTGCTTGTATGGGCATCCCAAATTAAATATATATATGTGTCGCAATTGTCATCCTTGATGAGGGGTTAGAGAAAATTCAGCAATTCCTGGAAAAAGAAGAGAATTCAACCCACCACAACACTACCTTCTTTGCTGAAAAAGTGGATATTTGGTGCACACTGATATCTGCCTTACAGTAGTTGTGAGAACTGGGTAATTTTTGTTCTTGGCTCCTGTGTACACATATGAGCACTCCATATTAAACCACCATGTGCCACCTATCTCCTTAAGTGTATCACAATTACAATGTAGTAGCTTGACCTTCCAGGTGAGATCTATACATGATAGTTTTCCTTTTTATCTATTTTCAGGCAGAATATACAAAAAATGAGGCTTTCTTTGTCAGAGAATTCAGATTTTATAGCAACCCCACTCCATTTAAGTATTTGTGAGAATTTGCTTTGCTAATATTTTGGATTTATATTAAACTAACAGTGTGTAACATTCAATCTCTGTGTAGCAGTATCTAAATAATGAATCCAGTACAGTGCCTGTGTGCAGTAAGAAATATGTTACACTCTAAGTATATGCTGCATGCTGCATTTTATATATGTGAATTTTAATGAATGTTAGGCAGAATTTTATCAAAGTGAATCTTCAATGTTTTAGAAGTTTTAAATAAAAAAAGTAAGAAAGCATTCAATGAAGATTTTATCTTAAATTTTCCAATTTATTACAAGTATATTTTCTTGGATAATTTGCGTAATATTAATACTGTATTGGGTGTGAAAACTTTAAAGAATTTGAACAAGAATAAAAATCAACTTTGTTTAATTATAATTTTATTTGATTCTTGCAGCAGAAAAATACACTTTACCACCTGTCATTTTGTCAACTTCCCCTACACCAACAAGTAAGTACTATATTTTTTAGTTTAGTCTTTGCTTATTTATTTTAAATATAAATAAAAACTGATATTATTATACTTTTCATCTTTTAGACAACCTAGTTATTTCTTTCTTTTTATTTATGTAGCATTTAACTTTTCTACAAATAGTGAATTTATTTATGTGTATATATTTTTCTCCTTCCTTTACATGTCACCTCTTCTTCCTGTAGAAGTCAATTCCTCTATGGTACAAAACTGTGTATAGTGGTCTTAATCAAATTTAAGACTCCTTGATGCTTGTTAATTATTAATCATAATGCAAAAAGGTAAAGATCATTTACAGGATTATGAATGAATGAAAATCACCCAAAGGTCAGTCAAAGTGGAATTTGATTATTTCATTTCAACATTTTGCAATCATCTGTATAAAATTCTTTTCAGTAAATTTCAGCCATGCATCTTAAAATGGTGAATCGAAAATCAGAATGATAAGAAATTGTCAGAGGTTAGGACATTGCTGATAAAATAGGGTTATTGTGAAAATGATATGCCTGATCAAATCTACAATATTTGTGAGTGACTGAAGTAAGTTAAACATCATTCATATTCCTAGACTTCAGTTATAGGGGCTGCTCATAATCTGATTTTTATAGGGGATGTTCATAATCTTATTTTTAAAGGGGATGCTCATAATCTGATTTTTATAGGGGATGCTCATCATCTGATTTATACAACCAAAAACAAGGAATGAGAAAAAATGAGATTGGAGAATTGTTTTTACCCAAATACCCATTCATACAGTTTCTTTTCTATCAACTACAGTGGCATATTATTAATGAGATTTTTATGTTAAGATGTGATAAGACTGAGTGAAGGAAAGGATAGGTCCATTCCTTTCTTAGGGAATTATTTCAAAGGGAATATATACAGTTGAAAAATTCATAATATTTTCTGTGGTGGCAGTAATTACATTCTCCTCAATACATAAAAAAAATAAAAATGCAAATTTATTCTGACAAATATATTTGCTTTTGGTTGTTAACTACAATGTTTCAACTGTTATCTTAACCTTCTTCAGAGTTTATTGTTCTGATTTTGTATGTTTCATGCACCAACATCCATTCAACCAAATATTGAATACAATGAAAAAGTTATTTAAATTGTAGAGACTTTGGGATAAATATTCTGATTAATATAGAAACTATAAACCTAAAAAAAAAAATTAACTTTATGCCGTATTTGAGTCAGTTGAACCGCTGTTCTTTTTTTGGTTGTTATTGTCATAACATTTCATTTATTTTATACTCCATCATTCTTTAGATGCTTCTTATAGCTGGTAACCTGGATATTTTTAACTAGACCTTCATTTTTAATCTATGAACATTGACTATTCTCATTTTGCTATGCATGTATGTGATAATGCACTTAATTCTTCCATGTGACATCACTTGTCTTCTTTTCTCACAGAGTATATTAATTTTCAGTATTACTTAACACAGGGGTCAAATCTATGATTCCCAGGTTGGCTTAAGAGATGCTTTATCAACACTTATCAACTATGATATTTTCTCATAGGAGAATCTGGTGGTGCAAATTTATAGACTAAACCTTATTTTCACATGTCTGCTTTTTCAACTGAACTAGAATGTATAGGGTCTTGCAATTCCGATAGTGAAATTAGATTTTAACGTTTTTGAGTCTTAAGAATAAAGCATTTACTTTCTTAATTAAAGTTTCCTCACATGATGAGCATTTACTGAACTGATTAATGAATCCACACAAGTGAATTGATTCTTTCATTTTTCTCATCATTCAGTGTTATTTTCTATTATTTCTGATTCATTTAACTTTTTTTTAATTCTTGTTTCCCTCTGCACATAATAAATTACATCTATTTTCAGCCTCTCTTCCAAGATTATGACATTCTAATGTTCCTCCAGAATTTCTTTTAGAAAAAAGCAGGTATAACATTTGTATTTCCTGCTATAAATCCATGGCATGGAATATATGCAATTTTATGCAACGTTCTCTTCTGAGGGAAGCTTGTTTTGGGGAGAGTTGTTGCTAAAAGTTAGGAATGCTTTTGAATACTGTCCTATATTTGTATGGATTGTAGATCTTATGAATTTTTGCCAACATTAAAAATGGTATGTTACCTTGACAGTTTTATGACTATTGTAATTCACTCATATCTCTGCTTATGGAAACTGATATTATGCATGGAATTTAGTTGTTACTCTTAAGCAAGTCTCTCAAGGTGATCATCTCATTTTGATATGTATCTTGGTCACCACTTATGAACTTTGATCAGTTATTTTAGACATTTTTCCTTTGCTTAAAATTAAAGGCCAGGTATTTTCTGATGAATGTTAGCTTAAAATATCATGATCTCCTGAAGTCATATTAAGTTATTTAAATATCCAGGAAAACAAGTTTATCTTTTGCTTTCTTTTCCACTGTGAGTTGAATTGTACTCATATGGTTAGGTGGTACCTGCAAATTCCAGTTAGATCCAGAGTATGAAGGTGTCATTTGTATTTGTGTATCCCAGCCACATGTTTGGCTATAGTGTTATTTTTCCTAAAGATATTTCCTTGAACTCTCTCTCTCTCTCTATATATATATATATATATATATATATATATATATATATATGTGTGTGTGTGTGTGTGTGGCTATTACTGGAGAAAAAATGCATAGTGCGGCCTTCATCCTACTGATAGACATTAAAACACATTTTGAAGTATGTTGAAGTATGTTGTTCGCACACAGAATATAAACATTTCCACAATCTTATCTATGTACTAGTACATTACCTAAGAAAGTGCTTTGAACTCAGCTTGTCTAAAACCAAATAGAGAGCCTCATCTCTGAAAATGTTGGTCAATATGTTCGCAACATTCAATTTACACCATCTATTTGAAAGAATAAGCACATCTTTTTTACTCACAAATCTCTTTGACTAAGACACTTATTTGTTAATGTCTACCTATAATTTTGAGATGAGGTATTATGTATACTATTTACATTATTCAGACTATTGTCCTCATCTTTGTTGCCATATTTATCACAACATTTCAGCCGTTATACACTCTGGCCTTTATCAGGTGGTTGGAATGTCAAACTGAACCCTTTAATTTCGCTCTCTGGGGTAGACTGTTCTAGTTCCACATGCCATGTCTAATGAATGTTTGTTATCCTTAAGGACTCATGGCACAGTGGATAAAGGCGTTGGTTAGTTCCAGTGACAGAACCCAAAGAGTTGTGAGTTGAATACCTGGTTAAGGCAATGGAGATCTTGGAGAGGTTAATTAACAGGAAATAACTGATTAAATACATCCATTAGACATGGCATGTGGAACTAGAACAGTCTCTCCAGCAAGTGAAATAAAGGATTCAGTTCGACATTCCAACCACCTGAAGAAGGCCAGAGCATACAACGGCCAAAACATTGTAGTAAATATGGCAACAAAGATGAGGACAAGAGTCTGAATAATGTAAATAGTGTTAATGGTTGACCATCAACAAGAAAATTGCTCAATTGTTGACATGCTTTGCCTTGACAACTTATGAATTTTGGTGAGATTGTAAATATTTGGCAGCTTATTCTAATATAGTATCAACTATGTATATTCATTCAAATTAATAATCTAACCTTGTGGATTGAATAAATGGTTCAATTATAAGTTCCCCAAAGGTTACCACTGGAAGAAACCAAAATGGTATAACAGCCCAAATGTTATAACTATGATGAATAAGACGAGAGCAGAAATCTTTGTTAATCAGCAAATAATAATCTCTGATTTGTTTTGATCCTATAGATGTTGATGCGTTTGAAATTATTTATTGCCTTTCTTATTTGCAGCTACTTGTAATAAGACAATAGCCGATATCATATTTGCTCTTGATACATCAGCCAGTGTCAGCATGTCAGATTTTCAAACAATGCTGAATTTTGTTGAGCAAGTAATTCGTACTTTTGATATTGGCCAAGATAATGTCAGAGTGGGTGTGGTTACATTCTCTGGAAGATCAGTTTTGCAATTTCACCTGAACAAATATTCTAATATAAACCAACTTCTGGATGCCATCTCTAAAATCAAGTATCTGGCTGGATCAACAAACACTGCTGATGCTTTAAGGTAAGAAGTTGGTACAAGTTATTCACAGATACTGAAACAAAACAATACTTACTAGTCAGTCATTACTATTTATCTGTGTCATATTTAGTTTCTCAGTTTTTCCTTCTTCGACCTTTCCAGATAATTCATATATTTATTTTTCTTTTATTACCTATAAAATTAAATTTAAAATTCCACATTTCTCTTTGCATTCTTTCAATTTCTTTCATCCTTCCTGTTAATCTTATTTACTGTCATTCATTGTTTCTGTTTGTCTCTTCTCTCCTTCACTCGACTGATTACATATATCAAGTGACATATCAAATGTGGCTTAAGACAAAAAAAGATATTATAATTTATAATACATTCTTGTAGTAAAATAATGCTATATTTATGGCATCACAATGTAATCTTCAGAGCAGATTAATGTTTTGATATATTCATTTAATAAATCATAATAATGATACTACAGGTTGCATAAACAATAGGTATTCACATAAACTACAATGCATTTTTATCATAAAAGCAGTGTAAGTTACATTACTATAGAAAAGAAATGGATTGCAGGTTATTTGAATACTTTCTATTTATGTGACTTATAAGTTGTAGAATTTATTAAATAAATATATGAAAAATTTAATTCATTCTAATCATTATATGCTTACACATGCACACACACACATTTCCTTTGTTCCATTTAATCTTTATTTAAAAAAAAAACTATTATGTAAATTTTTGTAACTTTGTAAAATATTTATGCATTACACCCTAATCTTTATTCAGTAAAAATTACATTGCTAATCATGCATTACTTTTTAAGTAATACACATATTTATGTCTTTGTTTCCATTCCTTATATTATGGCCTCTACTGTGTATATATATATATATATATATATATATATATATATATATATATACACACTCTTTTAAGAATAGTATTTTTGGGTTATTGGAATTTATTCTGCATACACACACATATATATATACATACATACACATTATGAAATGGACAAAGTCCGACAATTATTTTAAGACATTTTCATATTTATACATTCTTTTTATAGATACAAATATTTAAATAAATGCTCTGTTTAAAATAAACAGTATTAACAACATTTACCGTCTGAATGTCCGAGAAATTTTCATAGAAAATATTCGTCCTCTGAAGGAATCGAACTTGTATCCTATATGGAACCGTCATATAACTGACATGTCTTAACAAGGTCTATTTTACTGTCTTTAAACTAAATATATATATATATATATATATATATATATATATATATATATATATATATATATATATATATATGGTAAATTTAGTTGACAGAGAAAAACTAAAATAATAATCACACTTGTATTTTAGTTTGTTTTTTTTTTCTGCACTTACTGCCCTTTATATACTGTAGTAGCAAGGGAAATATTTCTGGTAATATGAAAAAACTGATTAAAAAAATGAAAAGAGTAAAAAAAATAATACAAAATTGTTTTCTGACAACTTTCAGATATATTCGCACAACAAGTTTCCTGAAACAAAATGGTGACAGAAATGGTGTGCCAAATATTGTGATTGTTATCACAGATGGTAAATCAAATGTTCCAATGTCAACTTCTGCAGAAGCTGCTAAGCTGAAAATGATTGCAACAATATTTTCTATTGGAATTGGAACTCAAGTTGGCACCAAGGAATTGAAAGCTATAGCAACAGACGAAAAGCACATATTCACTGTGAATAACTTTCATGCACTTGTGGAAATCAAACATTCCCTGGCAATAAAAACCTGTGAAGGTAATATTTTAAACTTCAGATTTCATAAATTAATCCTTTGCATTTTGTAGGTGAGTTCAATTGTCAAGAAATAAGTTTTTTTCATGCCACTGAAGGCAACTCCAGTTGTTTAACTTTTGCAATTGTTGTTATATCTTGCTATGATAAAAGTAAAAATGAGTTTGACGAGGATCAAAAAGTAGGCTGCTATAGTAGAGGGAGCACCACATCCTGAGAAAAATGCAGAAAGTTAAAAGGTTATAAAGAAATGATATATGCAGAGTTTGTGTGCATTAATACAGAAAGATTCTCTGATATATTTTGTATTTATTCATTCTGAATTGAAAATATTTTAAAAAATTAATAAACATAAATAATTTTTATAAAAGAATGAAAAATTTTAATAAAACATTAATTAAATAATAATAAAAATAATTAAAGTCTTTTGTAAAAAATTCTGAAATGAGAAATTTTCATTATTATATTCTTTACAGTTTGGACTCACCTGTTTGTTATACTCACAATGTTTCAGCTATTGTACCCACCTATCATCTTCAAGCATTGATCTTCCTACTCAATAGCATTCTTGGAATTTTAAGTCTAACAATTTATTTAATACACATGAGTAGAATGTTCTTATTCTGTTTCTCATGCTTAAGAGATATTTTCTATCAGTTAATATTTACCAGTCTTCTTCAACATTGTATTGCTTGTTCAGTTCCTCCACTAATCATGAGTATGGGACATTTTAGCACTACCAAAACCAGGGATTGAACTCACAATTGCTAGAGAAACTGAGATGTTTTAACCAGTACTTTAATCTATTAGGTCATTTGTCTTAGTGAATCAAATAAAAAGTTCTGTGTAATATTCCAAACATTTTACTGAAGACAACAAATACATGGAAGGTGTTATGATAACAACAACAGAGATTCTTAAAAAACAATGTTAAAGAAGTTAATATATAAGAGTAGCAATATCAGAAATCTAACATGTTTTATTTCTGAGGTGATTAGATTTTTGGCTTAAACGTTTTCAGTGTATATCAGGGAGTTTGGTGATAGAAAAATGCATAATTAAAAATAAATAACAAGAAAAACCAAATTTCCCCATCCCTAAAAATAGTAAAATCATCAGTCAAACAAATCCATAGTTTGACCAAACAATCTGAAAGCTTTCACAACTAGGATGTAAGAAAAGAAATGGACAAGGAAACCAACATTTTCCCTTTTCTAAAAACAGATAGTTCAACCAACCAATCAGAAAGCTTTCACAACTAGGATACAAGGCAACAAGCCAGTAAGAAACAAGATGCCATGTGTATATAAAAAGATGAAAAATCAACCAAATTTAGAGTCATTCTCCGATGTTACAGTCATCATAACATACCCAGAGATGACATATAACATTTGCACAACTAGCTGATGACCTTAGATGGCTAACCATTTCTTACTACATTGAAAACAAACACACGTTCCTTCACCACATGGTCAAAGTGGTGGCTAATACATTTGGATACATATGCATACATATATATTTGTTTCCACCCAGACACACACACACACACACACACACTCTCTCTCTCTCTCTCTCTCTCTCTTATGCAACAGGACTTTCTTTTACACATGATCTCTGGAAACTTCAACTTTTACTTTATCCTTCAGTATTATTAAATTGTGTTATATAAAGATTTATTTTTTATATATCAACATTCTGTACATTTTTCCTCTAATCATTACACCAGGCCAAAATCCATTCAAATCAACTAGATCAATATATGGTGGGAACATTATAAACAATACAACTCACCCATAACTGATAACCTCCTAGAAGAATCTATT